GGAAGGAAGGAAGGAAGGAAGGAAGGAAGGAAGGAAGGAAGGAAGGAAGGAAGGAAGGAAGGAAAGAAGGAAGGAAGGAAGGAAGGAAGGAAGGCAGGCAGGAAGGAAAGAAGGAAGGAAGGAAAAGGAGAAGAGAGGAGCAGAGAGGAGAGGAGAGGAGAGATACACAGAGACAGAGAGACACAGTGACAGAGAAAGAGACCAAGAGAGACAGAGACAGAGGCAGAGAGGTCAAACTTCTGTCTACTTCTGTCGTGGGGCCTGACCTCTGGGCCTGGGCACTGTCCCTCAGCTCTTCAGCTCAAGGCTAGCGCTCTACCACTTGAGCCACAGTGCCACTTCCGGCTTTCTTCTTATGTGGCGCTGAGGAATCGAACCCAGGGCCTCTGGCATGCAAGGCAAGTGCTCTACCACTGAGCCACCTTCCCAGCCCCTGAGCATTTTTTTTGTCTGTGGTGGGGCTTGAACTCAGCACCTGGACACTGTGCCTGGGCTTTTCTGCTCAAGGCTAGTGCTCTAACACTTTGAACCACAGCTCCACTTCCAGTTTTCTGGTGATTAATTGGAGGTAAGTCTCACAGATTTTCTTGCCCAGGTTGGCTTTGAACCACAATCCTTAGATCTCAGCCTCCTGAGTAGCTAGGATTACAGGTGTGAGCCATTGGCTCTTCTGAGCATTTTTAACACATCTGATGACTGAGGGGTGTGGTTCAAGTGGTAGAGTATCTGCCTAGCAAGTGCAAGGCCCTGAGTTCATGCCTGTCTACTGCAAAAGCCAAGACAAATAAATGCAAATACCTAAACACATTCAACTCACACTGGAGTGCTTTAAAAGGACAATCATGTGAGGGTTTCCTGAAATGAAACCATGGAAGCTGGGTGAAAGAAAAAGGAAGTTTTAGAAGTGAGGGAAGCCATTGATCTGGCTTCTTTTGACAGCCTGCCCCGGCCAAAGATGGTCTGAAAACAAGAAGAACAAACACACACACAAACAAATGGTATCAGGGCAGCAGGTTGCATGCAGCTCTTCAGCTGAGCACTGCCTAGCGATTTTGGTCCTCCATAACAATCCCGATACAACACAAGCCCCACGGTGCTTGTGGTTGGATTCCAATCCGCAATGCTCTTTGTGCCTGCAGATTAGTGCTGGCATCTTTACAAAGCTGGGATCTTAGGAAATGTCACCTGGCCTTTCCACATAGGTAGAGGAAGCCGAGGGGCGGGGGAGGAAGCTCGTTTGGAAATGGCCAGGCGTGGCGTTCTGGGAGCGGTCATCGGTCATCGTTAACACCCTGGCTGACTTTCTGCAGCTCACAAAGGGCAGAGAAAGAAGACAAAGTGGACCAAGAAGGTCAGCCAGGCAGAAGGCCTGGCAGGAGGCGGGGAGGGGGCGAGGGGGCTCCGCCCGGTTCACTTCAGGAGTTGGGGGTGGCGCATTCCTGCAGATATTTGTCAAGGTTGCCTCGGTAGGAGGACAGAGCCCCCTGGGGGTTGAACATGGAGAAAGAGCGGAATTGTCATGGCCGGTTATGTGTAGGAATGTGTAGTAAAACAAGATTGTCTCAGCCGTAGCAACACCGCGGAATTCTGGGACCTCCACCTTGTGTGGGGATTTCTCCCGGCTGCAAACAGGTGGACAGTTCCACAGGGGACAGCAGCGCGGTGTCCTCTCACCCAATGACACTGGGCCGCCATCTACCTGGAGGTGGCAGCTGGGCCTGGGTCCCCCCTTCAGATGCTCCTTGTGAACTGCAGGTTGTTTCTTTCTGTCTGCTGGGCTGTGAATGGGGTTTCTGTAACCTCGGCTTTCATTCATTTGCTGAGTGGTTCCCACGACATAGGTGTTGCCAGCCAGCTAGCAAGCCAACACACACACACACACACACACACACACACATGCTGAGACTTGGAGGACTTTAGGCATTGTATGGTGGGTAACAGAGACCAAAAGCTAAAACAACAAATCCGTGTCTCCCCAAATTCATGTTGGAGCGCATGTGCTTCCCGTTACTACCACCAAATACAAATACCCTGGACGATCACCTGATAGAGGACAGGCTTGCTTTGGTCCCTAGTCTGGAAGATCGCTGTCCATGGTTGATTTGACCCCAGTGCCTAGGGCCTGTGGCCAGGAGGCAACGCTTCATGGCGGTAGCATGCAGTACAGAAAC